GCTCGGACGGATCCCGTACTTCCTGAACGCCAAGTTATCCTTCGACATGGCGGATGGCGGAGGTCGTGCATAAGAACGACCGAGAAAATTTACGCGGGAGACGGCCTGGTGCGGTTGAGCAGTACGAGCAGGACGAGGAGGCAGGCCGACGAGATGCCGAAGGACACCGTCCCGAAGGCGATGATGGCGTACACGTAGCTCAGCAGGAAGGAGGGTATGGGGAAGACGATGTGCCGCAGCTTCTCGTTCACCGACTTCTCCCGTATCCTGTCGCACAACCTCGTCAGCATGTCGTCGACCAGGTCCTCGAACGCGGACCCGCCGCCGCCCTCGTCTCCTCCCGCCGCCATCCGGTGGACCCTTGCATGATCGCGACCATTTCGTTTCTCCGCTTAGGGAAAACGCGGGGTCGCCCCGGGAGGCAGGACGGCATGGCGCGAATCGACGGGCGGCCTTGGGTGGCCAAGTACGCGGACCGCCTGTACGGCGTGGATGCGCAATATGAGGCGGCGTGCAAATGGCTGGACAGGCTGGAGGATCCCGACGACGTCGAGTGTGAGCGCATGCTCATCCTCGCCGGCCCTCCCGGCTCCGGCAAGACGGCCCTGGCCGCGAAGGTCCTGCGGGAGCACGGCTTCTCAGTGCTCGAGAGGAACGCGAACGACAACCGCACGAAGTCGGCCCTTTGCGAGGACATCCTCAGGACGGCCACATCCGCCTTCGCCTTCCGCAGGCAGGCCATCCTCATAGAGGGGGTGGACGCCATCGCCGTGACCGCCACGAACTGCGGGCTGGACGTGCTGATCGATCTGGCGACGGAGCACCGGAACCCGTGGAACGTCGTGCCGCTGGTGTGCACCATGGACACGGCGAAGACGCGGGGCAGGCTGTCGGAGCTCACGAAGAGGTCGCAGGTGCTCGTGCTGCCGGGCCTCGATGCGGCGAAGCTGTCGGAGCTCGCCGCGTACGTGCTGAGGGAGGAGGGCAAGACGTTCGACTCGGAGCGCCTGCGGCGCATGTGCACGCGCGCGAAGGGGGACGCGAGGTGGCTGCTCACGGCCCTCGAGTTCGAATACGGCGGCGGTGAGCCCTCCGCATCGGGGTGCGCTTCCGAGGCGGACCGCCGCAGGACGGACGACGTGGGGGCCGCCCGCAAGATCCTGTACGAGGCGGAGTGCACGCGGGACGTCGAAGAGGCGCTGGTGGAGGACGAGGGATACGCCCTCGCGTCCCTCGTACAGGAGAACTACCCCCTCGCTTGCGGGGACGACATGGACGTCGCCTCGGCGGTCGCGGACTGCATGGTTGATGAGGACGCGCTGGAGACCTTCGTGCACGCCACCCAGAGCTGGGAATTCCTGCCGGTCACGCTCTCGGCGGGCATGCACCGGGCGAGCTCCTACCTGTGGCGGGCCAGGAGGACCGCGGGCTCCACCCACAGAGACGCCTCGCTCGCGGTGAGCGCGGACCCGTCCCGACGCAAGGGAAGGAGCCGGCGGGCGGAGAGGAAGACCGGGTGGGGGGTCGTGAACCCCTCGCTGGCCTGGAGCAAAGCGTCGTACGCCGCCGCCCAGATGAAGAAGCTGGTCGGCATCGCGAGCGCCCTGCGCACGGAGACCGGCGTGGGCATGAGCGTGGGCCTCGAGTGGCTAACCTCCTTCTGCGCGATCGCGACCGAGGCGGCGGAGCGAGCGGCGGAAGGGCGCGCCATGGACGAGCTGGCCGCCCTGGTGGCTGGGTACGGGATGCGAGCGCGACACGTGGAGGACATCATGAGGCTGTGTGCCCCGTTGACCCGGACCCTCCGACTCAAGCGGCCCGACGCGAGGAGGCTTAAGGAACTGTGCGGGTGAGGAGGGGGCATCCGCGGATCATGGAGGCGGGTGCGGCGCTCAGGACCAGGTCGGGGAGGACGGTGCGCCCCCCAGCCCGCTTCAGCCCCGAACGTCCTACCGGAGGCTTCGAGGACGACTTTTCCAGCGACGACTACGACGAACAGGATTCCGGGAGCGAGTCGGGATCGGACGCCTCGCGCGGCTCCGAGGACAGTGAGGAGGACCCCGAGTACGTGCCGGGCATGAAGACCGCATCGGAGACGGACGCAGAAGAGGACGACGAGGACGACGAGGTCGAAGAGGAGAGAGATGATGACTACGAGATCATCGATCCGGTGGATGACCCAGACGCAGGGTAGCATTGCAGGAACGATACGAGCCTAGGACATCACCCCCATGGACCCACATATGCGAACCGTTCTTTACAATATTGCATGTTGAGCCTGCATACGAATGTTGCGTGTATACATAAGGAAGCTCAGGGGTCTCGGTGTCGGCAAGATCGGTCGATTGCGATGGCGCCCCCGGGGAGGCCGATCGTGGCGATGGCTGCGGATGGGAGCTCTAGACAGACGTACGCGACCGCACGCAAGGCTGCGGACGCGACAGGAGTGCCTCACACGACGATTGCCAGGGCCGCCAAAATCTTGGTGAAGCATGGGGGGTACTTCTTCAAATTCGACGGCGACTCCCGCGAACCCGTCTTCGAACGAACTCCGGTTATCACGGCCGAAGATCGAACACGAGCACAGGCACTGTTTCACCACCTGTCGGGGACAGATGGCGAACTCATCACCGAGCTCCGTTTGAGCGACGGGTATTTGAACGCGACGAGAATGTGCCAGAGCGCGACGCGGGCGGAGGGCGTCCAGAAGAGGTTCACCGACTTCTACTGTCTCCAAGGAACGTCCAACTACATCGAGGCATTGGCTCGCAGGATTTGGGTACCTCCGAGACAGCTGGTTGATAAGGGGTCGGGCGGGCAACCGACGTTCGTTCATCCAGAGCTCGCAGTGTATCTGGCAAGTTGGATCAGCTCCAAGTTTGCTGCCGAGGTGACGGGATGGCTCGCACGGGCTAGGAAGGAACTTCCGGGATTAGATGCCGAGGTACACGCGGCGCTATTCAACCTGGAGGCCGACGAGCGTACGAAGAGTCCGGAAGCAGTCGTACGCGATCAACTCGCGGCGGAGCTATGTGCGCAGACCGAAGTCGAGTGCGAGCATGGTTTCGTCGACATCGTCGGCGCTTCCGAGATCATCGAGGTCAAGCACTTTCGACAATACAAGCATGCCGTGGGGCAGGTATTGGCATACGGCTTGAGCTTCGAGAACAAACGCAAGCGCATCCATCTCTTCTCCACCGACAAAGACGTGGACGACTCCAACGAGATCACGGACACAATCGACAAGGCGCGTCGACTGTGCCAGAGCCTGAACATCGGGGTGTCGTTTGCTGGACGACTGGCGGGTGTCACCAACAACGAGGTTTACAACTCACGGAAGAGAAAGAAGAGCGACGATTGTACGAAGCCCGATACAGACAGAATGGCAACAGTAGTGCATAACACTATCGAGAAGTACGTCGTAACGATTCAAACTGGTGGGGTGATGAATGCACAAGTGAATGACAGATTATGTTAGCTTGGGTTTTCAGGATTTATAGGATCTGACCCCAATCACACCATGCTTTGTGTCAAGTGTAATCTTAGGATGCCTTCTCCATTGAATGCCAACCGTATGATGTTCATACATCTTCAGCCGCCCTACACACATGCGTGCATACATAAGGAAGAGCAGGGGTCTTCGGTATTGGCAAGATTGGACGATAACAATGGCACCCCCGGGGAGACCGATCGTGGCGATAGCAGCTGATGGCAGCTCCAGAGAGACGTATGCGACTGCGCGCAAGGCTGCAGAGGCGACGGGGGTGTCGCATACCACAATCACTAAGGGTGCCAAGGGCTTGGCGGAGCATGGAGGGTACTTCTTCAAGTTTGAAGGCGACTCCCGCGAACCCGTCTTCGACCGAGCTCCGACTATCACGGCCGAAGATCGAACACGAGCGCAGGCTCTGTTTCACCACCTGTCGGGTTCAGATGGCGAACTCATCACGGAGCTCCGCCTGAGCGACGGGTACGTGAACGCGACGAGAATGTGTCAGAGCGCCACGCGGGCGGATGGCGTGGAGAAGAAGTTTGCGGATTTCAAGCGCCTTCAGGGAACCACCAGCTTCATTGAAGCATTGTCAAACAGGGTCGGGATACCCACATATCAGTTGGTCCAAGTAGGATCAGGGGGACAAGCGACGTTCGTACACCCGAAGCTAGCAATCTACCTCGCCCAGTGGTGCTCTTCCGAGTTTGCGGTGGAGGTGTCGGAGCTGGTGTTCCGCTACCTGTCCGGAGACTTGACTACCGGAGAATCTTCGGCTGCTGCCCAAGAGGTGCAGCGACAGACGACACCGACACCGCCTGCCCCACCCGTCACCAACTGGCACAACCTGAGGCAAGACGGAATGAAGATGTACAAGAGTGAGACCGACGCCATCCAGGACTACATAGCCGTGCGTAGCGCGGCGCAACCCGGCGAAGACCTCAGCACGTACTATGCCAAGGTCAACAATCTCATCAACCAGGCTCTGCTCGACTTCAATACGAGCACGAGGGAGTACAAGGACCTGCGTGGCATTCCGCAGAGCATGACCATCCCCGACATGTTCGACGGGCACGGTCAGGTCCAGAGAATGAACGTAGAGTTCATGTTCTTCAAGTACTTCACCGACCGCGAGGACCAGTGGGCGAGCCTGAATCCGTGGAAGGCCTACAACGACCTCAAGGAGCTGAGAGACAAGTTCATCCGATTCCGGAGCGAGACCGGGCTGAATGATCTGTCGACGAAGCACATGCTCGATGTCCCCGAGGCGAAGAAACGGAAGCGCGAGATGACTTCGATCGGAGCACTGGAGGCTTCGCCCGCCTTGAAGGCGCTGCTGCCCGCCTTTGCCCCTGCCGCTCCGATGACCGTCAACAACATCCACAAATATTTCTTCAGGGTGGAGAGGATGACGAATGGGGTCTTGAACGGACCAGTACATGGCGAGTAGGAACCAGCTTAGAGGGCTATTTCGTGTATAAAACGTGACGGATCGAGTGCTTGGACCGCTTTGTGTGAACAATTCTCTCTGACTACGAAGTATCACGACTCGACCATGTACTCCGAGCCCGATGTCGATTGGGGAAATACTTTCGAAGAATATTACGGACCTGCCTCCAGAAGAAGGCCGATATCAAACCTGAGAAATCGTTTAGTTAGTCTACCCGGTCAATCATTAGCATATTACCCGTCCTCTGCGACTTAGTCACGGAGCAAATTGGCCACGAAGAGAGATGTGTACGTCATAGGCGAGATGCATGTGGGGGCAGATGTGGAGCGAAAGAGACAGATAGTGAAAGCTCTCTTTCCTCTGGCGGCCTACCCCGCCGGGTTCGTTAACAAGCGGGATATGTGGGGTGATCCGCAGCAGGCTAGATTGATATTATTCCAAGAGCTTCCGTTATCGGGCAGCAAGCAAGAGCTCTTTGAAGGAATAGGAGCCGAGGATCCTTTCGCTAGATATCTACACCATTTCCTCGCACACTATTATGGCATACTGACTCAGAGGTTCGGCTATGACAATCGGAGCGAGGGGCCAAAATTTATGGGACGATTCCGCATGCCAAAGGAATTCACAGACAGGTCACAGATGAACGATCTTGTGCAATTCGCACCTGCTGTATCGGCCTTGATGTCGAATCTTCTTCCGCCTTCTCAATGGGATACCTTGCCGTCATCCTTCGATCCATATTCCTTCGACACGATGGAACGTCTCCGACCACACCTTCCGGCGGGGTTGTTGGACCAAGCCTTGTCGGTCGCGAGAATGATAAGAGAGAATGTCGCAAGTCGGGAAGAGCAAGCAGCGGCATTGAGTGTCGCATTAGATGCGTCTGTTCGTTACAGGGACGAAGGGATGACGCGTAGGCTTTCGAAGGTCTCCCGAGAGGTCAAGAGTCACGCACCGTTTGTGCTCTTGGTCGGTCAGAGTCACGTCCGGAATCTGAATGAACTCTTGACAAAGGCAGGATTCCATGTGACGACGTTCGACAGAGTCGTACCGGCCGATGCAATCATACCACAGATTGTGCGACGTTCCAATTGGTTGTTTGCTTTGGATCGGGCCATCACGCAAAAGCGGTACTTGGAAAAAAGAGCAGGTACTGCATTCGCTTAACGAGCACCCCATCCGAAACATGTCACTCGTATGCGAATGGCTACGGTTTCAGTCGTGTTATTTGCTGGTGTTGATGATCTATGCGTAAGAGCGGACCATTATCGTCTCCTAAAGTGTAGTTCTCACTCCACGCTAGCAAGAAACAGTTTCCATGCTGTGCTGCATCATTGGTGTCGTACCGTATAGGTGTTGGCCTTGATCAATGTGAAAGATTTCGATTGCACCTTACAGGTTTTCAGAATTCATACGAATGCGCTTCCAATGGTGTTTCCAAGAGAGCCGTTTCCGGAGACTACCTGTTGCCGAAGAAGGGCCGCATCGCATCATCATGGCCGACTCCTGCCGATGTCCCATTTGTGTCGAGAAATCTTCTTTTTAACCCCCTGCCGGAAGGATCGACGTCGACGCGACGTCCACCTACCGTTCGTTCCACATTCTGCACCTCCGCGTCGACTTGCGCCATCCTGTGACTCGGTGTGGGCTTCGGGATGTTTATCACCAGGTCTGGAAACAACCTCTCGTACTTGTCCCTGGTCATCGGAAAGAATCTTCTCGGGAACATGGCCTTCAGCGCGATGATGTCGGGATCGGTGCCGGCTTGGACTGCTAGTTTGAGGTTTTCATACGTTTGTCGAAAATGTTCGAGATCGTTTAGCGGCCACGCTCTCCAGTTCCGCATCGCGTCGGCCACGATAGGGTCCCTGAGCACGACAGAGGTCTGTCTCGTTCCGAACCCAACACGATTCAGTGCCATGTCGAAGGCATGATTCGCCGCACTGTCGGCGAAGCGACAGAAGTACGAAACGAAAACGCCGGTCACGTCCGGTATGAACTTGTGAAAGAGATCGCCGAGAGATGTATGTATGCCCCGGAGTGGTACCAGGCTGCGAGACTCCGCGTACATCGCGAGGAGCCCTAAAATATCTTCTCCTCCAGCGAGCGCTTTGAACCACGGCTTCTCGGTCAGACTCAGCGGAACGACTCCCGGGTCAGGGAGGTTCGTGAATGCGAGAGCCGCATCGGGGGCCCAATCGCCTGGAAGGAAGATGCGAAGGTAAGAATCCGGGATCGGTGGGACCCTGGATGCCTGGGGCACACCTTCCGTGACCGCCGACAGGACTCGGCCGCGCGCCTCTTTAAGTCTCCGGTCATCACGCAGGCTTCTCCCAAACAGACCAGGGGGGGTGAGGAGAACGAGAACCTTGCCTTTCGGAACCCTGAATGCTCCGCCAGATACACCTCCATGCGCGTTGATTTGAAACCAAGGGGCCGTTTTGAGCGACTCTGCCAGTGCCATTTTCTCCTGGCCGCCCAACGTGTCGAGACGCAGAGGCCGGTGTAGCTCGCTGACGAAACGCTGGGCTTTTTTCTGACGAGTCTCCATACTCTGTTGATATACTGTGGAGAATTTTGCATTTATCCCAAACCCCTAAATCCTAATACCCTGGAACCCTAACACCCGAGATCTGAGACCATAAACCCCTCTGGTGTCCGTTTCCGAGACATCAGGGTCTCCGTCTCTGTCTATAAAAATCTAACAACGATTACTGATGACGAACGGGGTCTCGAACGCACAAGTCAATCGCGATTAGGTTCTATCTTAGAGGGCCATGTTGTATGAGAATACGTAAAGGTTTGAGACTTTCTGAAATGCTTTGCGAGTAGGCCACTATTTTGGCAAAGGGTCCCATGAGTGCAGACGGTAGGGTGTTCAACATACTAAATGCATGTCATTCACATTGGGACCGATGTAGGAGACCGTCGTTTCGAGTCGACCGTCATTCAAATCCAAAAAGTACAGAGTGTTCTTAGAGTAAACAGACCCCTTCCCGTCTAACAGAACGGCAAAGGCGCTTTCTGTGGGAAGAAGGTAGGTATGCACATGGGGTCTCATCAAGTGCATGGAGTACCGGGCAGCTCTCGACAGATCACCCCTGTAGTACGTTATGGCGTATGGTCCACGAACGTGGACCATACGCCTCTGATGGGCATGCAACAAACGTGTTCCTGTGGAACTTCACGCAACCATGCTATGTCGGATGGGCCGAGCTCCAATTTAGAAACATCCAGGGTGACGGCTATATCTTCGAGCTGCGAGCTCGATAAGCATGCAAGAAGGTACGCTCGCGCGGTAGCCAAGACCCACGTCAGTTGATTCATATGCTTCCTTATCGCTAACCGCGATAGAATACATGCTCGTCGGGAACGCACAGCTCGGACGTATGCATCTTACGAACGAATGTATGTTAGACGGGGCGGTCGGATTTAGATGATGGGCAAGTAAGAACCAATGGAGCACGTATTCGGCCTGCACATATGCACAATGTATGACGCTAGTGTGGCCCGGTCGATGCATCCTGCCCGTCCTGAAAGTGCTTCGAATGTCTATGTCTGACTGGCCTTAACGGTGATTGGATCCTAGACAAGAGCTCACATGTGACAAGGAACGAATTGCACCTGCCGGTCCAACACAGAGTGGAAACTGCCTCGCAATGGTCGGCAACCGAACCCCAACACTCTATGCCACGTTCCTGCATCTCCCAAGCACGTCTCAGTGCAGATGCACGACCCTGCTCTTCATCTCCATCGTAACGCACTATCGCCGTTGCCTCGACTGCCTCTTGGCCGAGAAAGTCCTTCAATCTGCATACTTGCATACTCGGCGTATCACCCCCGGAAGGCGCGCTATCGAGGACTAGGAAGTCGCCGAGCAATCGACTGTTATGATCCTGGCCTGCGAAAATACCATGATGCCAAAGCCCTTCCGATGTGAGCTTACGAGCTATATGATCACCGGGTCTGGCGACTCCACCCAGCCCCTCCGGAAGTACAGGCACGACTTTACTAGGTCGGTGATCGTTGTTCTGAAAATATGGATCCATGTCGTCCGCCGTGATGTGAATAGCTTTTAAAAAGTCCACAAGTTGCCCGACGCGCCCGGGCGCCGTTGCTCATGCTCATGTTCCGGCCGGTTTTTTTCGAGTGCGGTATACAAAGCGGGCGATCGGACGGGATGGGCTGGAGTCCGTTCAAGAAAAATACGACCAGCGTCAACGCCACACTGAACGTGATGTCCGAGTCCTTCCTCAACAGCGTAGTCGAGGTGAAAAACTCTTGCCACGCGTCCTCATCCTCATCCAACATCGTGAACGTTACAGCGCAGGGCACAGCCGACAATGCGAAGGCCGTGCTCGACTGCATGACCATCGCCGGCAAGTTCGGGTTCGATCCTAGCAAGTGCTCATCCTTCGTGGCCACCAACAAGGTCGGCAGCATCCGGCAGAGCATCAAGGTCAACCTCACGGCCGATTGCAAGCTCGACTCGGAGGACGTCAAGAAACTCCAGGCCAACATGGAGAACGATCTGTCCCAAAGAAACGACCAGGTCAATGATGGGGTGGCCACCGCCCTTCACGACCTGGTCAACGTGCTGGGCGGTAGCGATTCGAACAAGACGTACAGTCAGTTGGTGCACGACATGGTGCAAAAAACGTTCACGACGGATGTGTGCAACGAAACCATAACCAACCTCACGAGCAGCAACATCCTGAGCATATCCGCCATCGGCCTGGCGTACCAGGAGGTGAACGGAGTGGAGATGTCCATCGAGTCGACCGCCATGGTGTCGGCCATGACGAAGAACAAGACCATCGCGGACGCGCTCGATACATTCAAACAAAAAGTGGATCAGGACAACAGCGAGAAAACGAGGGGCCTGACGGATATCGTGGATTCCGTGGGGGCCACCGTGGGAGGCCTATTCAAGACGATGAGTTGGGTGTGGATAGCGGTCATATGCGTCGGAGGACTGGTCGTGTTATGGGGTCTGTGGGTAGGCCTAAAGTTCCTGCTATCTCCTGCCGGCCAAGATGGTACCAGAGAACTTGCGCACGCGGGCGCCGAAAAGATACGCGACACTCCCATAGTTCCGGTCTGAGCGCTACGGCTATCTACTCGCTACGCTACGCTATGTCGAGTCTTGCTCGTCGCCGTCCGCCGCCGTCTCCTGGCTGAAGGCCGTCTTCCCGTAGTGCTTGACCAGGTACTTCTGCAGCGAGAAGAAGGACGTCACTTTGCCCTCCGGGATCCCGAGGAGCTCGGAGAGCTTGGCGTCCACGGTCAGCATCCTCCCGTTCCCAGGGACCTGCAGCTGGTTGTTCTTGATGTAGTCGTGCAGCATCTTGAAGACGTCCGCGCGGGGCATGAAGGTGTCGCGTCCGAGGCCCAGGAAGTCGCTCAGGGCGGCCGAGAGGTAGGCGGGCTTGGCGAAGCCGGTGGGCTCCTGGCGCTTCCGCTTCTTGCCCGCGCCGCCGTCCTCCTCCCCCTCTCCGAAGACGTACGACCGGAGCTCGTTGGCCTGCTTTTGCGTCTTGTTCAGGGACTTCTGGAGTTTTTGCTGCCCCTTCTGGATCTCCAGCAGCTTCGCGTGGATCCCCTCCACTCCAGACGACTCGGTCTCGGAGGTCGCGTCGACGACCATCGGCGTCGCCTGGGGCGGGGCGGCGGGCTCCTCCACCGTGGGAGCCACGGGCTGGGTCACCTTTTGCTTCTTGGGGGTGGTCTTCACGGACTTGGCCTTGGGCAGGTTGATGGGTGCGGTGGTCGCCATGTCTGGGTCGTTGGGATGTGCAGAGGTTTTTCTGAGCGGTAGTGAGACGCGCCCTGCGTTTTGCGTGGAGGAGAGGTTCGTGAGAATGAGGGACGTCCTGCTCGAGTCCCGGCTTTTATACCCGCCCCCGAGCGGACCCTTCGGTGTATGCTCGCCTCCTTCTCCGTCTCCCGGAGCTCCGGCGCGATGCACGCAGAACGCGTCGAGCAGCGGTCGTTTCGCGGGACCCATTTTTTTCTCCTTCGACGGGAAGGACCTCCGGACGATGGATCGCGATGCGGCGCCGAAGGACGGCTATCTAAAGGTGAATCTCGAGGGCGAGGCGGGCCGGGTGGACGTGAACCTGCCGCAGCATCATCCCATCCCGGACATCAACATCACGGGCATCTCGACCGCTCGCCCGCCTCCGTCCCCGCAGCAACCGCCGCCAGCGCCGTCAGCGCCCGCACCCCAACCAGCGCCGGCGCCAGCGCCGCCTACGGAGCGCCGGGAGTCCCCCCGCAGGGCCAGGAGCCCGTCCGTGCGGGCGTCTTCGGCGTCCGACGGGATGTCCGCTCACGGGTTCGGCATAGACGAGCTGGTGAACCCTCGGAAGCGGCGGAGCCCGGCGCCGGAACGCGACGACGGGCGCTCCGGGGGGCAGAGGGGGCGCAGGGAGCGGGAGCGGTCCAGGTCCGTCTCCTCCCGCAGCTATGCGTCCGGACGGTCCAGCCACCATGCGAGCCGCGGGAAGGCCACGCGCGACGCCCAGAAGCCCTCTCCCGGCTTCGCGACCCTCAAGGAGGAGAAGCTGCACATCCTGCTCGCGCTCAGGCGTCTGAAGGAGGAGGGCGTGAGGGGCATCACGGACTTCGATCAGGACGGGGACATCAAGGAGATGCGCATCGAGCTCCGGGCCTTCGAGGACGACGAGACGGTCCGCACGGGGATCCAGAGCTGCCGCACGGCTCTCGTGACCTTCTCCACGGGCCTGGAGGTGGCGAACACCAAGTACAACCCGTTCGACCTGGACATGAGGGGCTTCAGCGAGTCCGTCTTCGAGCGGATCGAGAGGTACGATGGGGTGTTCGAGAGGCTCGTCCGCAAGTGGAGCAAGCGGGCGTCCAGCATGTCCCCCGAGATGATGCTGCTGATGATGTTCGTGGGGAACGCCGCGGCTTTCTGCTTCACCAAGTCCATGATGACCCCCGAGACGGCATCCAGGGTGGTCGCGGACAACCCCGACGTCATAAAGGAGATGATCGACCGGCGCGTGAAGGAGGAGATGGCCAGGGCGAAGGAGGATGAAGCGCGGGCGCGGGAGAAGGACTCGTTCCGCTTCTTCGACCCGCCCCGCCCCACGCGCGGGAGTTCCCCGCCCCCGCCGGCCCAGAAGGCCGAGATCGGCGTCCCCGCCGCCGGCACGGAGAAGCGGAAGAGGGGCCCCGCGCCGCGTGGCGAGCCGGCCCGACGACGCCGCGATGATGCGAGCACGTCCGCCAGCAGCGAGTCCGGCGACGCGGAGTGGTCCCGCGGGGGGAACCAGCGACGGAGGTACGACAGCGAGCCGAGCGTCTCGTCCATGGACACGGTCGAGGAGAGCATCGCCACCACGGGCCCCCGCCCCACGACGGTCACTGCCAAGGCCACGGTCAAGAAGGTCCCGGTCGGCAAGGCGGGAGCCGGGGCCAAGAGGAAGGTCGTGGAGATAGAGATCTGAGACGTCGCGACTCCGCGCGAGTCCCCCGCAAAATAATCGTACATTCTACATATGACCTCTGGGAGGGATGCTCGAGTACTCCCTCATCTCGGACGTGTACAAGGTGGACACGCTGCCCGCCGGGAGAGCGAGGCACAAGACCGTCCGCAAGTCCGGGGAGCGGCAGCAGGACGACATGAGCCGGCAGCGCCTGGAGAGCTCCCCCATGCCCCAACCGGTCGCCGTGCCGGTGGCCGAAGAGAGGCGCGAGGGACGGGAACCCCTGCACCCCTACGAGGGCCCGATGTACCACGATGCCAAGGGCAGATACCCGGCCCGTTTCATGGAGCGCAGGCCGGTCGTGTACGAGACGTTCGCGGCCGATCCGGACGGGTATGGCGGCGGGGGGGTCGATGGTTACGCCCCGGATCACGAGTGTCGGTGCCGGATATGCGACAGGAGGATGCGAGGGAGGCGGCGGCGCAGGCGCTCCGCCTACGACGTGGAAGGGCTCATGAGGAACGTACTATTCAGTTTCGCCGTGGGTGCGTTCGCAGTGTATCTCATAGACATACTCAGGAGCCGGCGTTAATGTAGCTGATCGAGCAGCGTAGCGTTCTCCCTGACCGGCGCGTCTCTGCGGATCTTGTACGGCACGTTCTTCTTGCCCCCCGTCCTGATCAAGTCCATCGACTGCTGCTCGCTCTTGACGGCCCTGACCCTCTTGCCCTTGGTCTTCGCCTTCTCGACGGGAGCCGGCTCGCCGCCCTCTCGCAGCCGCCGGAAGAGCTCGGACGAATCCTCCTCGTGCGCCGTCCCCTCCAGCACCTCCCTGGTCCGGCTACCGAGTCCCAGCGTCGCGTCGAACACCACCTTCTCCTCGCGCTCCGTGTGCTCGCTGATCTTTGCGAGCGCCTCGCCGTCGGACTCCGAGACGAGGACCTCTGCGCCTCGCCGGAACTCCTCTATGCTGAGGGGGCCGCCGAACATCGCCAGCTTCCTCCGAACGGGAGCCCCCCTGATCCCGTACGCGGAGGCCGTGCTCGCGGAGAGCGGCGCCCGGCCCAGCTCCTTGGCCCTGATCTTGGAACGAAACAGGGAGAGGAGCGTGCAGCACCTGTCCCGGTTCACGCTGTTGCGCTCCAGGTTGAAAGACTTGCAGCAATCGAAGGAACAGAACCACCCCATGGTGCTGAAGACGTTGCGCCGCTCGTCGTAAGCCACGGGCAGCGGTATCGGGACGGTATCGAATCCATGACAGCAGTACCAACACGCTATCTCGACCCTCCGCGGCCAGCTCTCCACGCAAGGCGACTGCATCCTCCCTCTTGGCCTCCCACCGGTCTCGCCTGTTCCTTATGCGAGGGGCGTCCGACAATAATCTCCCCTACGAGTAGAGTGGGCTCCGTCATGATCGACCGCACGCATCTGATCTCCCTCCTCCTCGCGCTCCTGCTCGCGTTCTCCTGCTACGCTTGCCTCTCCGGGGTAAGCCAGGTCGAGACCTTCTCCGACGAGAGCCGGGGGCCGTACGGCCAGTCCGACCTCGCGTACTCCCGCTTCGTCACCAACGCGCAGGAACCCCTAGATCCCGCCTCCCATCCCCTCGTCCTCACGACCCTCCCCGGGGGCACCACGGTCGCGACGCCGCCCCCCGCACAGATGGTCCCCACCCTCAACGCAGATCTGGTGCAGGCGGCACCCATGCTCGGCCCCGCCGTCTCGCCAACCGTCCGGACGACCGTACCCCAGCTCTTCGGCATGGAGGCGGCGAGCGCGACCTCCCCGGCTCCGCGTCCCACGACCATCCTGCAGCCCGCCGACGGACGGATCGCGCTGCCACCCTCCACGGCCAGCATGGTCATGATCCAGAACCTCGGAAACGCATGAGTCGTTTGCGAGTCTTCGCGGTATGGTCCGGGTACAAATACCGGAGCGGCCGTCCCGGCTCCGCACATCGATCCCCCCGATCTCAGACTCTCTTCCGGCTCGCAGACATGCCCCGCGACGGGTCCACGCAGCAGAGGGGCGCTTCGAAGAGACGCTCGAGGGCGTTGGCCAACGGTGGCTTCTGTCCTCTACCGCTCGTGGCGACGAGTTGAGCACCGCCCGGTTTCGCCACGATGTCGCCCGCGGCACCCTGAAGAGTCCCTGATGGAACACCGCCGTTGACTCCGCTCACCCCACCCCACCCACTTATCGTTCGCATCGTCCTCGCAGGACCGATCGCGAGGACGACGATGGCGACGCCCCCAAGCGGACGAGAAGGGACCACCCTGCCCATGAGGACCGTACGTGGGTGCCCGATCTGCGGTACGTTGCACGACGATCGCGCCGGAACCTCACCAAGGACTCACCGGATCGAGTTGGTGTGTGTATACGTATATCGCAAATCTGTGCGCATGTGCTCGACGGCTTTCAAAGCAAATCGGTCTGCTCCGGGTCGCGTCGTGAAAATTCCGAGCACGGACGATTTCTCGCCTAGTTCGTGACAGACGACGACGAAAACCGTCGCCATCTGACGATAACCTTAAGTGATGGGGAGAGGTAATATCACATAGAAACGCGGTCGGAAAAAAAGGGGCATGGGTGAACATCATCGGCCTCCGCGTCCCATGCAGGTGGACCAGATGCCCGTGCCGCGTGGGGATACCCATGGGGCTCCCGACCGGGGAGTTTCACATAGGGTGCTCGTGGGAAGGCGCACGGCACGACCTCGGGGCGCACCGGTGCATGTTCAGCGGAGTGATGCAGTTCCTTCGGTTCCGAAGATCGTTCCTGGAGCTGCTAGACGTGTTAGGCTTGGGCGATATTCTCCCAGACATAGGGCCGTCCCAGAGCGCGAGCGCTCCTTCGACCCCGCCTCGCGTCTCTGCGCGCAGGCCCTCGTCGCTGCTAGATACGAACGTTAGCTCGGACTATCCGTCGGAAATCGACTCGTTGTATCTTTTTTGAGGAAACGACGTCACCCGGCAACATGCGCAATGCCATTCCATTCATCGTCCCGATAGCCCCCGATGCATACAGTGCCTCGAGTCGTCTGTTGCGTCCCTCTACGCCCCTCAGGGCCGCCGCCCTCCGCTTCATACCCAATTCGCGTCTCAGACGTAGTCCTTCCGTGCCACCATGCCTATTCAGTGCCACCGCCAGCAGATCGGCATGCCTGTAATACCTGAACCTCACGTGTCCCAGGAACCTCACTATCGTGGGCACTTCCTCCAGATCTTTCTCAGAGAGATAGAATCGCCGCTTGGCGGTGGTGTGATCGATCGTATGATATTCCGGGCGCGATCTCTCGCAATTCATGCATAATGGCCCCGCGTGCGGATAGAGCTCGAATATACGGAGCGTGGACCGGCCGCACCCGGTTCGGCAGAGGCTCTTCGACCTCGGAGGCCCTCTCGGGACGTGGCGATAGAGGGGCAAGTGCTCCAAGAGCGAGTCTCCCTCCGTGCGGAACACGGCCAGGTTCTCTTTGCATGCGTGTGCTGTGTTGCGTGCCTCATCGAGCGTGAGATCGGCACGGTCGATCAAGATTTTGAACACGTCCGCGAGACCGGTCGGCTCCATGCTTGACGTAGTATCCAAAAATGTTCGGACGCGGGCGCATGAGACGCCTTCCACATGGATTTTCTCTCGTGATCATTACAAACTACAGTGCTCAGCAGGATGCACGGGCGGAATCATGCCGTTAGCAGGCAGGTGCCCGTTGACAGGCTTATGGAGAATGTCAATCTGGTACGACAGATCATCGCAAAATTACCTCCACGAGAGATCCTCCGCACATCACTGACGTCGAAAACCTTTCACGAGGCTGCGGTCCACCATGACAAGGCCACCGTGAATGCGATCTATGAAGAGGCTCCCGCGAACGGTCCTCTTGTACGCAACCTACAGGCGAAACGGAATGCGGTCGGCTTATCTCGGGCCAAACAAAAGTCCAATATCTGCACCTCCAAAGACGTAATCTCTGTAGTCGCCTACGCCCTTCTGAGGAGGATGGGAGCTGGCGGAGACGAAGAAGACGGACGGAAGCAGATCGGGTGGGCGGTCGATTATCTCGGTAGATTGAGGACCCATCCGTCGTTCAGAGACTTTCTTATCCGAGAAAAGATGGAAGATAAAGCGTCCGCGGTAGTTCGGGCCTCGAAAGCCTTCCACGCCGCCCTCGATCGATTTCCAGACGCAGGATCGAGAGAGATGCCCCCAGAATCGTTGCTCCTCGCCATGCAACTGCATCGAAGCACGAACTCTGGAGTTCGTCAGATGGTGGATGAAGCTCTCAAGCCTACCGCAACCAATCCCCTGAGCACGTTGATCGCTGCTACAAAACGGGTGATCGGATTTCGAACGATCGACTCCCGGTCTGCAGAGTCTTCGCTTCGGCTTTCCGCATTTGCGAAAGATCTTCTGAACCGGATGGGTGCGGACGAAGGGGCTAAAGCATTCCTACTCTCTCAGGCGATGGAGTGCCTCCGTAATATTGTTATATCTCCATCCTTCGAAAGTACAATCATCCGGGAAGCGATGGACGGAAAGGCGTCCGAACTACTTCAAACCTCTCGTGTGTTTCGGGACTCTCTCAAACGGTATAAGCATCGAGATCCTAATACTTCAACGTCGACATCCAACATAGATGAATTTTTACTTCGAAATTCCCAATTCCACGATTTTGCAGATCTCACCACAATACCACCCGAGGTTTTGCTTCTCGCCATCCAACTGGATCGGAGCACGGATTGGGAGATTCGCCATGTTGCGGATCTACTCGAACGCAGCTTGAAGCAAAGCGCCTCCGACGAGCATGCGGAACAGTCGGCAACTGCCGCCGTTGCAGAGCATCGTGATGTACTCAGCAGACTTGTCGATGCTTCTAGGCGGCGTAAGCTGCGTATGGTTGGTTTCCAAGCAGCACTACACAGGGCAGGGAACCGTTACGCGAATCGGTATCCTCTGGACCCTTTGCCGCCGAGGAACGCCCTCCCGGTTTTCCTATAGTTCCGCAATGACGAAGACGAAAGTATTTCCACTTCAGGAGCTACGCGTACATTCTCAGGGACCCTCGCAGGTCTTCCTGTCGATGTCGTGCGGGTTCTAGGTCAGGCACCAGATTCTACTAGAACGATATCCGTCTCGGTATCTCGGAGCAAGGAAATCGCCCTCTTCCAGTTCGGTCCTCACTTCTCGTGGCTCAAGTCCGGGGCAGGCGCTATCAATCTCCGTATGCCTGCCTGTAAGAGACACTTGAAACAGTCGGCACAAGGAAACAGATTCACGCTGCATGTACCGCCGTCCAAGGCGACCCCCTGCTTCGCGGCCCTGCAGATGGCATTGACTTCTGCATGAACTACGTATTCGTCCTTTCTGGGGCTCTTCCAAGTCTCGAGTGGCAGGTCGAGACGGCTCGGAAAAGAATTCCAGCCGAGCACGAGGACGGATCCCGTGTCCGGGTCCGTAATCACGCACCCCACCTTCGTCTTGGGGTCCTCGCTGAACGAGGCCGCGACCGAATGCGCGATGGCCAGTAGATCTGTTGCCATATTCGTCGACTACACCTGACAGAGGTGTTACGCAGGGATGAACGGCGGGTGCCCACGAATCTTCGGACTGCGAGCTTTTCTTCGATCTAGATCACCCAATCACCTGGTACTTCCCTATGTATGGTGAGTCGTGGACGAGAACAGATGGGAGCGCTGCATACCACGTTTTTTGTGCTCCCCGTGGGCACGTGCCTACCCCCGGCGCGTTTATTTTCTGGGTACACAGTACCCTGTTATGACCGATAGTTCGAAATGTAATCAAACACGTATAACGTTGTTCGCACTCGCTCTCGCCGCTTTCATGGCCCTGACCCAGGCCGAAGTATTGAGTATGGGGTCGAGCGCGCCCGTCAGCGTGACTTTCTACGAAGAGCCCGGCATGTACGCCAGCGAAGGACATGGACAGTGTGGATACGGGACGGACGTCACCGGCGACACGGATTTCAACAGGCTCAGCCTCTACCCGCTTCACGTCGCAACCGGCAATTTGGAATTCCTCGGTGGCTGCGGGGCGTGCGGCACGCTCAGCCACGACGGCAAGGCGCGGTCGTACGTCGTCACGGACGTCACCGATGTGAAGGACGACCTGGACCGCCAGGGCTCCTCTTGGCCGCCTTACGGCAGCCACATCGACATGATGGGCACGGAATTCGACTTTTTCCAGACCCTCCCCCGTAACGGGGGGCAGCTGGATTTCTCGAAGGGAGGCATCTTCACGGGTAATTGGACGAGGGTGCCGTGCGAGACTCTGGGGAGCCCGAACTACCCGGATGTTCCTGGCGGAAAATACGTCGTGCGCACACAAGCATACAACCGGTACGCCAAAGCGCTCGTCGTCTCGCGTATGCATGGCGTTGGACAGATCACGAATGTGGATTTCATGACTCGTAACGGCAACTTCTTCCCAGGCCGTAGAGTCGACGGCTGGGGTGCATGGTACACACCCGGCCAGGACCTGAGCGGTCAAGGAGGGGTCGGCGTGAGAATAACCATGGCTGATGGTAGTGTCGTGGAACTCGCAGATTATCCGCTCCCAGATTTCATGTTCTGGGAGACCGGCAACGTATACATGGTGTAAGGAAATGAGTCGAGTCTGATATAAACACGTTAGCTCGCCGTACGAACCAACGCTGGACGATCCGTTGGGATCCCGAGTTTGGGGATTCACTAGAATGCACGTCACCAAACTGCTCGCTCAGCAGAATGATGGCGCGTCTACGACGACCGAAAATAAACGCTGTGTTGTCGGAAGATGACCTCGATCCAACTCTTGTCGGACGTTCACTTGGAGCACCGTCGACAAGGCCGTTGGACGGGGCTCGAACCGCTGGCGCCCTATCTGGCGCTGTGTGGCGACATAGGGAATCCTGCGACGGACGCGTACGCGAGATTCCTGAACGAGCAAGCCCAGCGGTTCGAGAAAGTGTTCGTGATCGCGGGCAACCACGAATGCTACGGGCGGACGGTGCCGGAAGCGGAGGCATGCATAGAGGCTGCGTGTGCGCGTCATCCGGAGAAGCTCGTCTTCATGAATCGGAGGAGATTCGATATCGATGACCGTGTCTCGGTGCTGGGAACGACGCTGTGGTCGAAGATAGACGCCGACGTGGCGCCAGTCGCTGCATATGCGATATCCGATTTCCGATACATTCGGGGCTGGACCGTGGACAGAAACAACGAGGCGCACTCCCGGGACGTGGCCTGGCTCACCAAAAGCCTCTCGGACGTACGCAGGGAGGGTCGGCGAGCGATCGTGATGACGCATCACGCCCCGACGCACCGTTCCACCAGCGCGGAGTGCTATGCATCTTCTCCGTTGAGGAGCGTGTTCGCCACCGACCTGGAGCATCTCGTCCGGCCTCCGGTGGCCGCCTGGCTGTACGGTCACACCCATCATTCCAACGACCAGGTGCTGAACGGGGTCCGGCTGGTGGCGAACCAGGTCGGGTACCCTGGAGAAGGGGTGCGGTACGACCACGGGTGTGTGGTGGATATCGATCGCGGTGAAGTCTTCGCCGAATGCTGCTCGGCGGATACTACATAAGACCGCAACATTCCTATAAAACCTCATCGGATCCGGCAGCATGGCGGCAGCGATGAGGGCCTCTCTGTCGAGCGTGAAGCGCATCCTGTTCAGGAGGCCGTCGAAGCGCGGAGACCTGCGCATCTCGGCGTCTGAATGCGCCAGCCTGCTCGGCTCCAACAGATACGTCTCGCGGGAGACCATGATCCAGCGGAAGGCTTTCGAGCGGCGGAAGACCGTCGACAGGGGGTCCGAGGACGCCGTGGAGCACGGCATGCGGTACGAGAAGACGGCGATACGGCGCTACTCCGAGCTCCTGATGCGCGAGGTGATCGAGACGGGTCACATCGTGCACGAGGAGTACGAATGGCTGGGGGCCACGCCGGACGGGATCACGAGGCAGGGCGAATGCCTGGAGGTCAAGTGCCCGTTCAAGCGCAAGATCACGGGCACGATGCCCAAGATGTACATGCCACAAGTGCAAATCGAACTCGAGGTTTGTGGCCTGGAGATGGCGCATTACGTAGAATACGTGCCGCACATGGGAGATCAGGAGGAGGCCCTTCTCGTGGTGCCGGTCCCTCGAGATCGCGAGTGGTTCCGCCAGAACGTCGACCGCTTGTACGAGGCGTACCTGGATATCACCTCTAGGAGATCCGCACGAGGCCGAATATAATTGTCGTATAGGTACAAAGAGACGACATGCCGACCTCCTGAGTTCGTTGTAGCGTGGTGAAGTACGATAGGAAGACCGAGCGGACGTCCGTTGCGAACACGATGACACCGATGGACGCCTGATAGGGCTGTTGAGTCATTTTCCCATGTTCTTCGTGTTCAAGCGCACGTCCGGCTTGCGATTCATGGATGGTTGCGGACGCATATGCCCCGTATGCTGGCGACACTTCAGGGCCGGTGCCGCGAACATGCTCCGCTCCGCCACGAGCAGATACCTAGCGTGGATGTATGACAAGTGGACGGTGGCGGCGTTGGGTGGGGTGGGAATGACGAACATGAACAGGAAGTACGTGAGGGCCCTGGAGACGGGGCGAGTTTTTTGAATCATCATCTCGATACGCAAAATACGCGGCACATCACGCACGTACCGCACGACACCATGATCATCAGGACCACGAGATACGTGATGCCCGCGATCACCTCGGGGCGGGCGTGCTTCCACATGGACGATTCCATGGCTTTGGCGATGTTCTCGGATGTGATCACATCTTGCAGATTTCTCATACCGGTACTACATGCTCCGAAATTATGTCGGTCTCATGTCATGGCTCGAAGGTAGACGGTCCAGTCTTCGGCGGTGCGTTCTCCTTCGTAAAAGGACCTGGTGCCGTCCGGTGCAGTCAGGACGAACGTGGGGAAGGCCTTGATCCCCAGGCGGTCCGACTCCGACCGGTCTGCGCTGGCGTCGACCTCCCGGAAGGTCACGCCCGACCCGAACGAGGCCTTGAGCTCGTTCCACTCGGGTTTGGCCCTCACGCAGTAGGGGCAACGGGGTAGACTATAGAATGTGAATACGTACCCCCCGGGACGCGATCGGTCGTCGAGGGGTCCGAATGCGAAGATAGCAGCCACGACCAGGACGCCGGCCATGCAGAGCTTCTGGACGAGAGTGTTCATGATCGGATGCGTTGCATGATATGAGTCACAGGTATTTTTCGAGTGCGTCCAAATCCGCGTGCCACAGCTGCTGGGGCGTCTTCTCCGTCAGAGATGATATCTGGGTCTCCAACGCATCTATCTTATGAGTCATCTCGAGGAGCTTCTCCGCCGTCATGCTGGCCAGCTGCATCTTGAGCATGTCGCGCGCCTCCGTCCGGCCCGCGCCGCTCGCCACCTTCAGTATGTCCTCCACGACGTCTTCGGCCGGCCTCCTCCAGACCGCGATGCGGCCGGACACGACCGCGTCCACGAAGGCCCGTTGGTCGCGCTTGGCCCGCAGCTCCTCCTGGAGGTCCGCGAGGGAGCGCGCCTTCCGTGCGCCGTACAGCTCGAGGCGGGCGTCGAAGAACTCCCGGAGCATCTTCTCCACGGAGGCGTACTTCCTGATCACGCCGCGCGCGTCGAAGGCGTACATGTTGTCGTCGTCCACCGACCTCCTGAGGCGGAGCGTCCTCTCCGGGTCGCCCTCGAGGAGCGCCGAGAGGGCATCCTCGGATTCGAAGACGAGGTCGATGCACACGTCTTCCTCCGTGGACGAGGTGTGCACCCGCGCGACGCCCTCGATGCCGTCCGCCGCCGTCTTGTAGGACTCGGTCCAGGTCCCGACCGGGAGCTCGGTGACCCTCAGGGCGTTCTCTCGGAGGCGCGCGAACGTCCCCCTCACTACCCACCGGCCCCCAGCGCCCGCGCCCTCCACGGTCCCCCGGAACCTCCTCCAGAAGGGCGGCATCGGCGCGAGCGTCGCTCCCGAGCCGCGCTCCAGCAGCAGCCGAAGGTTCGCCAGGACCGCCGCGGGCTCCCTGGGGTGGATGTTGGTGGAGAAGCCCCAGGCGATCCCGTTGCAGCCGTTGACCAGCAGCATCGGCAGGACGGGCGCGAGGTGCTCGTACTCGATGCTCGCGCCCTCCTCGGTCAGGGGCCGCAGGAGGGGCGCGTCTTCGCGCCGGAAGATGAGGGGAGCCGCGGCGGAGGGCTTCGTGAAGATGTAACGGGGGCTGGCGGCGTCCTTCCCGCCGAGCAGCCGCGTGCCGAAGCATCCGATGGGTTGCAGCAGATTCACGTTGCCCGCCCCCACGAAGTCCTGGGCCAGGTTGACGATGGCGTTCGCCAGGGACGTCTCGCCGTGCTTGTACACGGTGCGGAGGGCCACCTTGGCGGCCAGCTGGGCGACCTTGATCTCGTCCGCCGCCGGCGACTCCAGGAGGGTGAACATGATCTTGCGCTGGCTCGGCTTGAGGCCGTCCCACACGGACGGCAGGGACCTCTCGCTGGCGGCCAGCCCGTAGCGCACCAGGTCGTTGTTCACGAACTCGGTGAGGCTCATCTGGGGGCCCGTCAGCTCTCGCGGGGGCGTCTCGGTGGCGGCCACGATCCAGCCCTTGCGCTCGTCCGAGCGGGCGCCGGAGAAGGCGAGCTCCATGCTCCGGTGGCCCTCCGCGTCGCGGGTGTAGCGGACGAGGTCCATCCTGGCGAAGACGGCCTTCGCTTCCGCGGCGGTGTGAGTGCCCAGCCCTGCGCACGTGAGACTCGGGGGTTCGAGCAGAGGGCTCGAGCAGGGTTTCGGGGTTCGAGAATGGGCTCGAGTGGGGATCAAGCAGGGGGCTCAAGAAGGGGGCTCAAGCAGAGGTTGGGGATCGAGCGGGTGGGTTCGAGAAGCCCCCTCACCTTTGTAGTAGCGGATCTTGAAGCGCCGCTTCTTCTCGTCATCGAGCCACTCCTCGAACGCGCGCTCGCTGAAAAATTCGAGGCAGCTCCCTTTCCCCGCGGTCGGCAGCGCCCGGATGATAGGGGTCCGCATGGAGCACACGAAGCCGAGGTCGATCAGGTTCGGCCAGAACGTCTCGACGAGGTGTATGATGAGTCCCAGGATGTGGAAGCCGTCGCTGTCCGCGTCCGCCAGCACCACAAGCTTACCGTAGCGGAGCTGGCGCAGGGAGTCGTACGCTGCGCCGTGCTTCAACCCCAGGATCTTCTGGATCCGGGTCACCTCGGCGTTGGCCGCCAGCTGCTTGGCGGACGCCTCGGACACGTTGAGGAGCTTCCCCTTCAGTGGGAAGACGCCCCAGTACTCGCGCTCCTTGCGCTCGAGGGCGCCCACTCCGGCGACGGCGAAGGACTTGGCCGAGTCGCCTTCGGTGAGGAGGAGCGTGCATCTGTGCGAGTCGCGGGTCCCGGCCCTCGGGGCGTCGTCTAGCTTGGGTATCTTGAGGGTGGACGCCCCGGACTTGAAGCCGTTGGTGGACGCCAGCAGCCGCTTGTCGCTGGCGCGCTCCGCGTCCGCCACCACATCCCGCAGCTTCAGGCGGTCCGCGACCCTCTTGGCCAGCTCGGGCGGCAGGTCCAGCCTGGGCAGCCGGGAGGCGGGCGTGTTGCACGCGTCCTTGGACTGGCTCGAGAAGCTCGGGTTCGCCACGTCCACGTGCACCATGAGGAAGAGGGCCGCCCGGAGCGCCGGCACGCACCGCTCGCTCCCCTTGAGCACCGGCGTCATCGCCCTCATCAGCGCCGTGCACGCGGCGTCCACGTGGGTGCCCCCGAGGGCCGTGGAGACGCCGTTCACGGACGAGACGTGGGAGTAGCCGAAGCCTTCGGGCGCCCTGCAGACGGCGAGCCTCCACGGGCCGGCGACGTGCTCCACGAACGCCACGCTCGACACGTAGAGCCTGACGTAGTCCGCGAAGCGCTTGACCTTGATGGTCTTCCCGTCGAAGGATATGCTGGGCCGCGGCGTGCACCCGGCGGCGTCCATGACCCTGCGGCGGAATAGTGCGACCGTGTCCTCCGAGAAGGTCTCCCCGGCCTCGCCGAAGTACTCGAAGTCGGGCACGAAGGTCACCGTCACGCTGGAGCGCTCCTTGCTGGAGTCGGCCAGCCTCTTGACCTTGGTGTCCGCGGCCTTCGTGTCCATGCCCGCCCGCCAGGCGTGCGTCAGCTTGAGCCTCCGCTCGGCGTCGACCACCTCGATCTCGAACCGTTTCGACAGGACGTTGGCGAGCTTCACGCCGAGACCGTTGCGGCCGCCGGTGTACCGCTCCCGGGAATCGTCGAAGTTGTTGCCGGAGAGCAACACCCCGAACACGACCACGGGCACGTACAGCTCCGTCATCTGGTGGTGCTTGACCACGGGGATGGGCGTCCCGTCGTTCTTGATGCGCACCCGTCCCCCGTCCACGCTGACCTTGACGTACGTCAGCGCGTCGTCCCTCTTGGAGTGGTCGATGACGTTCACCAGAGCCTCGTCGAAGATCTTGTAGAGGCCGGGGTTGAAGGTGATGGAGCGCCGCACGATGGGCCCCTCGACGGCGTCCGCCACCCAGCAGTCCCGCGTCAGCGGCTCCCTGGTCCCGATGTAGGTGTCGGGGCGGAGCCGCACGTGCTCGACGGGATCGAGGACCGTGTACTCCATCTTTCCGGAAATGAATCCGGGGACCGCGGAAAGGCCCGCTATCTTCCGGCCGGACCCTTCGATGTATGCTCACCTGACGTGCTCGCGCCAAGCCCGACTCTCCCACGACGGCATGCGCTCCGCTCCGCAGAGGGGCGGCGGCAGGCTCCGCTCGCACGCCGACAGATGGTCCCGTTTGATGCGCCGAAAGGTCGGCTCGTCGATGGTGACCTTCATGTGCGCGTGCTCGTGGCTCTTCCAGCGGCCCTTGTTGTACTGCACGTTGAAGGAGTCGGTCATGGCGCCGATCATGCGGTCGATCTCGAGGAGCACCCGGTGCGCCTCCTCCGGAGCCAAGTCGGTGAGGTGCGCGACGTGGCGATACGGGGTGTATATGAAGAAATCCCGGTCCCGGAGGTCGAAGTGCAGGCGCCCGTATGCGCCGTCCCTGAACACGGAGGACCTGATCTTCGGGGACCTGAAGGGGTCGCAGGTGTAGCACGCGGAGCTCCCCGAGGACACCGGCATCGCTATCTGCACTCCGTCACCAGATTCGAGAGGCCTCTGCGACCGAGCACGCGCAGCCAGAGGGCCTCTGGGTCGAACGGAGCTGAGTCTGCAATGTCATGGTTCGTTAGCACTTCTATAGTTGGACAGCATACGTAGATTCGAGCTTGTCAGAATGTCGTCTGGCAACCCGGTGAGCAGACGGCTAAACGTGGCAGTTCGGGAAGAATATATCTTTTGGTCGGGCACTCGCGGAATGGGTATCCCTAGTGGATTCGTCAATAAGACACATTAAGAAATGTGTCTTACGGAGGATCCTTGAGTCTGATTTCCCTAATGAATCTCTTAATTAAGACAGTGAGACACATTTTTTGGAAAGTTTCTCAGAATCCGATGAACGATCTAGATCCGCCACGATCTCGAGAATCTCAGGAGCTTTCCCAAAAAATGCGTCTTACTGTCTTGTGTCTTGTGGCGATTCTGACTAGGGAATTCGCTAGGGCAAGATCCTTTAAGTAGCCCCTACCGGACGCATTATTTATCGTGTCTTGTGGGTTGTTTGACTAGGGAGTTCGCTAGGGATTTCTCCATTAAGTGACTCTCATGATAAGCTTCGGGATGCTGACGTGGCAGTTCGGAGAGAATGTGTCTTGGTCGGGCACTCGGGGGATCGGTATCCCTAGTGGATTCCTGAATAAGACACTTTAAAAAATGTGTCTTACGGAGGATCCTTGAGTCCAACTGCCCTAGTGAATCTCTTAGTTAAGACAGTAAACAGTAAGACAAATGTTTTGAAGAGTTCCCCAGAATCCGATGAACGATCTAGATCGCCACGATCTCGAGAATCTCAAGAACTTTCCCAAAAAATGCGTCTTACTGTCTTGTGTCTTGTGGGGATTCTGACTAGGGAATTCGCTAGAGTAAGATCCTTTAAGTAGCCCCTACACGACGCATTATTTACCGTGTCCTGCGATTCTTCTTCGAACAGACGAGCTAATTTACGGAAGCCCGGATACCAAATCCGCCACAAATTATCGGGTGCCAGATCGCCCCATAAATGCCACTGGTAAATAAGGTTCCCCGGTAAAATCCATTCACTGAGACATAATCGCAGTGTTGTCACACGAGGACGCTGCGGTGTAAAGCGTGTTTCTTTTCCCGTGGTAAGTTATCGATCAAAAATGTCGCAAGTGTTCTTGGTCATACGCGACGAGGGGGAGTATTCAGATCGTGAGTGGAGTGTGGAAGCAGTGTGCTCGACCAAAGACCACGCTTTTACACATGCTTGCAAGCTTGCCGCGGCACTATTCAAAGAACATTGACGGGACCTGACCTGGCGCGAATTCTATTCTCCAGACATCGTTCAGACTTGGACGGTGGACGGACCATGCGACGAAGATGAGGTGGTAGATAATGCAGCTATCACACGCCACCATCCCGAATTGTTGCCTGTGATAGAGGCCAGAGCGCATGCAGCAGCGATCCGTGATAAACTGCTCCAGGAAGCGCAGATCAATGCCAAGAAGCTTCGCGACCGCCACTCACTAGACGACCAGCTTCGGAATCGCACCATATCAGTAGAACGGTATTATGAGGCGGTGGACCGCATGTCAGAACATGATGGTCCTTGAGAACACTCTGTAAAAGCTTCCTGAAGGAACATGCACCTACCGAATCCCAGTATAAGGAGTTTAGGGAGTCGTATTGTATGCATTGAAGACCCCCTTTGACTTACCCTCTCACCATCATCCCGTCAACATGAAAGGTGGGTATACCGTATGACTCATCATCGTCAGATTGCATGTGTGTGCTTGGCGGCTGGCGATCTATCACGCAATAGATGTATTCACAACCTGTTTCTTTTTATGGTAGGAATAAAGTCTAGCAATCAACTATTTCAAAGAAGACCCGCAGAGCCCACTTTTCACGGGCTAACTATATGCAGTTCCCGGTGTCGCGACAGTCCGTCGACCGACAACATTGCAACAGGGTTGCAACTCTGTTGCAACACCGTCGCAACACCGGAAGTACGTTTTCGACGTTCGATTTTCATACGTGGTCGACATAACCGACCGCCGAGTCAAACTTTCAGCCTACAATGTTTCGATCGTAGACTCACTTTTTGGCCGATAGCCGGATGTCAAACTCAACTGCCGGGCTCCGGAGACTCGATATATTGAACCCAGTAAAAGCACATTAACACCATTCCCATTCTAGAATGCCCAATTGACACACTACTGTAAGTTACAGTATGTTTCTAATGTCCTAGGCTGCTGAAATAGAGAGAGTGTCTTCGAGTGATTTTGAAACGCCGTGTAATTGTCTTTTTTACCCCTATTTGCGGGCAAAGTACTGAGGCAATGTCGCAACACTGTTGCGACGTGTTCAAAGTTATCGCGGAGTTGTTGCCTGACCGTCCGGAAAGTGCATATAACTAACCTGTGTTCCGAGTCACTGCACAACCCACATCCAAGCTTGGCAGTTTCGCATCTTCTAAAGTATAGAGCGCTTAGCAATATGGCAAGACACAAGTGTAAGCGGCTTGGTTGTTGCCAACGAATTTGACCTCTAGGTTAATGCCATGAGGCATCGAGCCGGAAGCAGTCTCACTTTCATAGAATTAGTCGACGTTTCCGACATGCCGGGATCTGTAGGATGCAAACAAAGGATCGACTTCAAATGGAACAGAGGGCCATAATCATGCCCAACTCATTTTGACGTGACGTCACCGATCACACAGACCAGCTGGCGAGATAATTTACCTACATTCGTTGCGCAACCCTTGATAACAACCTACGAGTTTGTTTGGTTCACCAGTTCCGAACCTCTAGACTCCAAGTCTTAAGCCAAGCTTCAGGTCCCTTTCTGGAACATGCAATGCAGCCCACATGACGCATGTTATGCAGGTTGACATTACTATGCAACACACTCCTAGCTAGTCCGACGACAGGTGCGTATACCTACACTCCTATGCTCTACCGTTTTTCCAATGTGGTCGAGTCGAATTATGACTCGACCCCAATTTAATGTTTACCATGTTGTTTGTTTGCTCTTTGAGTATCAGAAGAGGACCAATGCCTTACTGATTAACCAATTTCAACCTGCTCAGTTGATCAAAATCCAAATAGGCACTCTGATCATATGCTCCTGGGGTTTGCCCTACGCGGATGCCGCCCTATTTTGAAGGATCTCTTTCAGTCATGCAGCGAATGCAAAGCCAAAACTGGCATTGAGCTCCAGGCGTGCTCAATACGGTACGATACACGTATTATTGTGGAGATCCACAGAAAAGAAGCTCCGGCGTTTCCCTGAGCGCCAATCCTAGATGCGTGCTGGACAAACCCTCAGTGGCGCCTCAGCTTTTTTTCGAACCCCCAGGCTAGCGGTAGCCACGCTTGGCATCGAACAGATCGCTCTACAGGTGCGCGACCCTGCGAGGATACCAAGTGCTTTACAGCCCTGTGCGTACCAATATGAGCGAACAATCGACGTCCGGATGATCGACGTCGATCTTTTCCGTCACCTTCGCGAAGTATTTTGGAGGAGGGGATGCTATACAGGTCCCAGCTCCATGCAGGACCAGAGGGACCGGCCGAACTAGAACGGATCTTCGATCGTCGCCGCAAACAAAGTATGACAACCTCGACACCTGCAATAGTATTCAAGTGCGCCACCGTGTTGGCATGGCTGCTGTCAGGTGATGGACAGATGCTCGAATGTGGACGAACACAATGTAAAGCACTACAAAACCCAGATTTGCAATCTGGAGAAACCAGATCAACCAGATCGGCTCGAAAGAAACCAATCAACCAGATCGGCTCGAAAGAAACCAGATCGCCCAGATTGGCTCGAGTACTTCCCTAATTACACCGTTTTTCGGTCCGCACAAGTATGAAAAGATTCGGATGAGAGAAAGGAAGAACACAAAAAAAAAACGAGAGATAGCCGCAGGCACGCCCCGAAAACACTCTCAGCCAACAAATAGCTCCTCGATTATTACGTGGGTTACCAGCAAACCTAATTCAGTGGAGCCCCAACAGGGGACCACTCAGAATCTGGAATTCCCCAAATGTCGTCAAAGTTTCGAAGAATGTCGTTCGAATGTGTCCCAAAGAACCCATTTGCCTCGACGGAGAGCAAAACCCTTTAGTTAGCTCAAAGACCCGTGCATCAGGATTCAAATCGAGCCGAAGGACGCTCAGTGAAAGAATAGAACTGTCTCCAAGTCAGGCAGCAAATCTAAGCAGGGCCGTTTGAGAAATCTCATTACGAACTTTGAGCTGACCGTAGCACTTTCAACAACCGGGGGCCACTCACCGTGCAGGCGAAGCGGGATTCTGCTTGACGACCCCGTGGGTTACAACCCTGACCGGGGAAGTGTTCCACAGCTGTGGAGGGACTGTGGTTCACGGGCCAGCTCCAAAACGTGCGGCTCCTCGCCGTGATCGAGGTTGACACAGTCCATCATCTCGTGGCCGTCGCCGCTCATCGCCCGCCTGCATAGTGTCAAGCAAACCGGTTGTCAGCCTTTCAAAGGTTTTTGCGAAGTTCGACAGGCTCGGTTCCGTCCATCTTGCGGTCCAAAAACTTGCCGCGTCGACCTGAACGCGTCGACCTAGCCGCAGTTTCCGGCTTTGCTTCGGCGGAGCTTCCATTTTCCTTGCTCCTCAACCTTGCACAACCCTACAGCGCGCCAGAAAGCAGTGCCACAATCAGGTCAAACAAGTCCGATTCTGTAATCAAAGCGTGTGACTTGTTTCTTTCTATGCAAGCTTGTTATATGGTTCTGCTCGTCCCGCCACAAAACAACTCCCTAGCCCCACATCTTACCGTGCGACTTCTTCCATGCTCAGCTGTCGTCCCACTTGCTGAAGCGGCGGCAGTTGGGGGCCCGTTCGGAATGACGTCAGCGTCACTCTTTCCGCATGCTCGCTGGCGCTGCGGGCGTCCGGCGTGCCACGTGTGCACGACGAACCGGAGCTAACGGTCGAGCGGGATCCCTCTGACACGGCGCGCCGTTCGGAGGGATCCCCCTCAGGGGTCTCGGGCCGGCGACGGTCGTTCAGTATCTGCACGGAGGCAAACCAAGCACCTTCAAACTCGGTACAAAGTTTACATAAAACACATATAACATGAGATGTGAGAACGGTACAAAGCTCGTGTATGATATTGACACAGCACTTGAAGAGAAGAACAACTTGGTCGAACGGATAGCATAGTGGATTTTAAAAAGAGCACTAACAACTCAATATATTGCGAAGAGTGCGAGGCGCGCAGCCAGTAAAACGGAAAAGACTCTCAGCAGTGGCACAGACGCGCCGCAATGCAAATCAACAAGAGTGTTCGGCCCAGAACAAGGAGGACAGGAGCGAAACAGTGCGTGATAACGCGTCCGATTTTGAAAACGGGGAGGTACATATATGCAAGGGTCGTTCTCAGGTACATTCTCAGGCCCCCAAGAGACTGACGAGGAGGCCTTCCCAAGCAATGATCCCCCAGATCCTTTTGTGTTGCAAAGAATACCTCCTATGCAAAATGAAGCTTCTATTCACGCACAGCAAAAGCACCGAGCCTCCTGCAAGGACTCGAAGGTCAATACCAGAATTCCAAAGGTCTGGTCAATTAAGCACTTCTAGCTCTTCGAGTTTCAGACATCTCGGCGGAAACATGGCTTAGGAGCGGGAACATGAACCGGGAGCGCTTACCAGGTGCCCCTCGTCCACTCGGCAGACCACGAGGTAGTCCCCCGGGCGCAGCCCGCGTGAGGCGACGAAGTCGGCGGTGTGCTCAAAGACGTAGACCCGGCTCTTGTTGTTGGGCCAGAACCTGGGGGGGAAGCGGCGGTGACGCCAGTACACCAATGAGATGACGTCAACGGGTTAAAAGTTAAGAACGACATCACACCCTGCGTTAAGCTGTGTAACGAGGAAAGGAACGGGTGCAGATCGCTCTTAGAAGATGCTGACACAGCAGAGGCGCCTTCATACGTAATCTAGTGTTTCAGCATCAAATTCCCATTCTCGCAGCAACTTTATTGTACGTCTGCGTGCTTTCTCAAGCACAGCGCCAACAAATCTAGAGATGCAGATCGGCTACGGGCTGAATGCTAGACAACGTCACGCCGACGCGAGGGCGGCGTCCCACCCTACTAGGAGCCAGCAATCAAAGGGCGCTGTAAAGATGGACACCTCAAACAAAAACGTAACCTGAAAAAGCAAAGGTTCACAGAAGGGCTGTGAGTCGAGCAATCAAGAGGATCCTCTCACCGATAGCGCAGCTGCCACCGGTTCCTGTCAGCGTCCTCCACCATGATGAGGCCCCCTTCCTTGTCCAGCACCTTCGGCAGGTGCAGCTCCGCTTGGCTCTAATGTCAGACAACACGGAGAACATGACGTCATCACTCTGCGCGTGCGCGGGCTTAGGTCCCCTCATGAGCGTGTGCTGGGAAGCTCGTTACCAGTCAGTCAACAATAGTTTGAGCAGTCAATTCCAGCCTTCTACATTCACCGTCCGACTAGACCAACCCAAGCAGAACTACGATTAAGGCAGAGCACATTTGAACGACGACGCCGATCCAAGGAGGCCTCGGAAGTAGCAAAACTCTGCAATCAAGCAATTAACCAAGCATCTGATGGCCAGCTTCACTCGCAACTTGCTTCCGGCAAGATCGACGACTCCAGGATACAGCTGGCAGAACAGAGAGCCAGAAGCTAGCACTCTAACTAGCGCCTCAAGGGACATGAATGGCAAAGTAGAAGAGCTATGCTGGCAGAATACCCGCCGGAAGTACCAAGAAATCCACGTCTCACCTACACCAAACGGACTCTATCTAGGGGTGAAGTATCCAAGGGCATCTGCCCCCCCGTTCTGATTAACGATTGATGCAATCGAAAGCTGGTATAGTGAGACCAACTTTGACAAGAACGAACCAGGATTTACAGACGGCAGACTGACCCTCAACGTTACGACGGGGTGATGCCGTTTGCAGAAAAGCTCCCCCGCCCCTCAAACTAGAACAGCAGACCAAAGCTTCCTGAACATGGTAAACCACACCATCTCTAAGCAGGGCACAAGACGACTCACTTTGGGCAGAATGATCCTTCCCAGGGGGCTGGTATCACTGGCAGTCAGCACCTTTTCAAAGAGAAACTTGCCCCTCATGGGCCGTTGTGTCACCGGCCCCCGATCCCATTGCAGTGGCGCCTTGTTCGCTCTCAACTCTGCGGAAGAGATGGGTTTAAAATATGAAGTCAGCAGAATGCCCCTTAGCGGAAAAGCTGACATCGGTGCACAAATTGCGCAGTCAAGTAGGCAAACTTGGCGGTTAACACTTGGTGAGAAAACAAACGAACCTGCTCGGGAAACTCGAATTCGTGGCATCAGCTAAAGCAACAGGAAATACGAATAGAATGAGTGCAGACTGGACATACTTGTGTCCACAATCTTCAAAGTATAAGCATGTAGCAAAGCATTGAAACAAACGTTCACAGGCCAGAAACAACTTGCAAACCCTTTGACTGGTCCGCCCACCTTTTGGATCCTTTCCCAGATGGGGCGTCGCACAGCCGCCCCTCATGCGGAGCGCCCTCACAGTCCGAGGCGGCTTCCCACCGCTCGTGGCCGAACGCTGTAGACCGCCCGCAGGCAGTCCCATCTCCAGGGGGGGATTCGCACCAAAAGCAGCGGAATGCGAGGCCGGGTTATAGAAGAACCTGTTGCCAAAACCCGGTTCGGGCCACGATTGCGGGGCCGAACCGGCCGGCGCGCTGTGAGACAGGAACTGGTTTGGAGTGGGGGGGAACGGGAGCAAGCTCATGTCGTCCCAAGGATGTCCCCCCAGGAAGTTCTGGTCGGATGCTTGCGGCAACTCGCCGTGCGGGGAGGGATTGGGGTAAGCCAGAGCCGGTTTCGGTAACCTGCATTCGGCCTTGACCCGCCCCTCGTTATGCAACATGGATGCGTCTCTAAAAGAAGAGATAGCCAAATCCCCCATGTTCCACCCCGCCTGGTTGGCGGCCAGGGTGTCAGGCCTGCCACCGAAGGGGGTGGGATCCGCCAGCAAAGTGGTCCCCCATTGGGGTCGGTACTCGTCCTGGGGGGTTGCTTTGTCCAGGTCAAGCGGGGGGGCGGAAAGCAGCGCGTTCCCAACTGCTCGGGGGCTCATGAGCTGCTGCTTCTGCTTTTTCCCATTGGAGGGGTCGTCGTGACGTTCGATGGAGGTATTGCTGCTCTGCTTCTGACGGTAGGTCTTGCAAATCTCCACCAATTTTTGTACCTAGCGGGGGAGGGAGAACTACGTTTACCAACTGGCATGGATGGCAAATATGTATGGGGCCTGAGAGTTACAGGGGGGTGGAAAGCAGAAGCAGTAAAGGGAGGAAGAATCTGGACAAACCGCACGTTGCACTGCAATCAGCTCTTACGAATACACATGTGAAAACAGCAGAGTGACGTCCTAAGAAAAGTAGTGCGAGCTTTGAACTACGATGTGCATACGGTAGTTGGAAAGAGTGAGCAAATGCTCTGCAAAAACCCACCCAAAAAACGAAGCAAAGGGCACTCCGAACTGTGTATATAGAATTCCTAGAGATTGAATAAGTGCTCACTGGCAGCAAGCAGGCAAAGCCCGGTAAGACAGGCAATGCTCTTGATCCAGGTTCTTAGTGTCAATAGCTTATTGAAGGAAGCCAGATAGATTGCAACAAACCTTGCCAGGGTCGAAGTCCTTCAGCTTCCTCCCCAGAACTTGCCGCAGGTTGTCGACATTCGCGAGGCGCGCCATGTCTAACGGAACCTGCTCCCCCCCCCCCACTCATCCAGACTGTCGCCACACCTCAACACAGCCCCTTTTGAATCGAGCTCCTTCAGGCCCGCCGACTGCCCCCCCCCTTCACCAGGGGTTTCACCCTGTTGCTGCTTTAGCAACGAGGCAGCACCCCCTGGTGCATTCGCCTGGGGGGGCAGTGCGGCACCTGGGGCAGCCCATGGCCACATTGCTTGCCCCCCCAGACCGTAAGGGGGGGGGACCCAGGGCCCCTGAGGAAATTGGGGGCCGCCAAAGAAGGGGGCGGGGGGGTAGAAAGGGTGGCCAACCATGGCAGGGTGGGCAGAGTTGAGGCCCCTCAGCGCAGCCTCGCTGTAGTTCCCCGGAAAGGCGGAGTTTGCCAGGGGGGGTACGATGACCCAGGGCGGCTGGACCCCCGGCCGGGGGGTGGAGGAGCTCCGCAGCTCCTTGGGGCGGTGGTTGGAGATCCACTTCTTCAGCTGTTTGATATCCATGCTCATGTCTGCGCAGATCTGGTGTGCTTCCTCCATGCTCTCCACTCCAGGGCCCATCCAGTTGACCTTAGTCCCAAAGTCGTGGAGCGTTTTCTGTTGCTGTGGGCTGAAGCGCAACCGCTGGTTCTCCCCCCCCGGCTGCGGTTTGGGCACCTCTACCAGCTCTCGGCGGTAACCCCCTACCTGACCTGGTTCCTTGAAGCTCTGTGAGTGGAAGGTCGTTTTAGGGGAGGGAAGAGGGGATAGAATGGGGCTGGTTGGGGTAGAGTTAGGACGGACCCGTGAGAGGAGCCTATTCCCACTGACCCTATTCCCACTGCCGGTATAAGTCAGGGTGGAGGACTGCGACTCTACATGCAGGGGGTCAGACGGCCTCGCTCTGGGGAAAAGCTGCGGCAGGTGCGTTTCCCCCCTGCTCCAAAGCTCAGACCGATTCAATCCATCGAGTAACTGCTCCCGCAAAGGACTCACGGTCTCATCTGATAAGCGCACCCCCCAAGCGTCAGCTTCAGCTGCCACCCCCGCATTTTGCACTCTTTCAGCACTTTGTTTTGCACGCTCATCCGGTCCCCCACTTGACACAAAGTCGTGAAACGCCCCCACCTGGCTCACCTCTGGGGCTTTCCGCTCGCACCCCCAAGGGCCTCTGCCAATTCCCCCCCCCCCTGCTGCTCCGTTCAAACCACCCCCCCGAGTGCTCGTCCCCACTCTCTCCCCGCCGCAATGACCCATGCTCATCCGACCACTGCACATTCGACTTCAGAGCCGTCATCAGCTTTTGATCCACCTCCATCTCCCCCAGTTGCGACAGACCCGTGCTGGGAGCCCCATCCCCCCTCTCCTTCAAGTCCGGAGCCCTGTCACACAACTCCAGCAACTCCTGGATCGCCCCCTCGCTTGACGCAGCTTCCACGTCGCCCCCTGCATCCTCCGTGCACTTTGCCAACGCATCCCCTCCTTCCCGTCCGTGGGACTTGCTCTTCAGAATGCTCTGCCCCCTTCCACTAAATGCCGGCAGCTTCGTCTCATTACCCCCCTTGACCCCGTGTAAGTCCTCAATCCCCCTTGCATTAGGCTTTCCCCCCAGCAAATCACCCCCCCGCTTCTCAGTTGCAGGCAGGTCATCGTTCTCATCATCATCGTCTGACTCGATTCCTCCCCCGCTTGGCCTGCTATCCACCACCCCCAGTTTGCTGTTCACCCCGCCTCGCTCCTCGTGCTTCTCCGAGCCCCCAAAAGCCTCCCACGAGAGAATCTCTGAAAAAACGTCAAGGCTCTCGAGCCGAGACAGCTTGCGTGGATCATGAAGACCAAACTCGTTCACACTAAGCTTATTCACACCATAAAAGCCATCCCCTCTCGCCTCAGCTGCCAAGGCTGCCTCCACCTCTGCCAGCATAGCATCCCCAGCTGATCCAACTGCTCTGCGACATCCGTCCCCACAGGCCCTTGAGAGTTGGCATTACCGGCCCTGATCCCAGACTCAACTTCCGGGGGCCCTGTTTCTGGCTCGTGCGGCCAGCACAAACTGCTGCGCGAATCAGCTCCACTGTCAGCAGGGCCTGGAGTCGTTGCAGGCTCGAATGCATTTAGCTGCCTGTTTGGAGAACTAGCTGCCAAAGACTGTGGGGTGTTGCACGGCAATGCTGCTGGAGCATCTCCATCAGAAGAAAGAGTGTGCTCCCTATGGCCAGTCATGCTGCGGCTTTCAATACCAAGCTTGAAGTGCCTGGATTGAGCTATTTTCTACATGCTGTAGTGTCTACACAAGCTGATGTTGACATCCATCCGACATCTGCAGAAAACAAGGATGCATCAGAAAGTCATCTGCTAATCCAGTAAAATTCGGTTACCCAAACAAGCTGTGCCAACGTGAACATAAGATTGAACCAAACAAGCTGTGCCAACCTGAACATAAGATTGAACCAACAAGCTGTGACAACCTGAGCATGAGCGAGGGAACCAGAACCATCTGCTGGAATCCCGGCATGTCAACCATCAAACAAGCTGCAGTACTCAGAAAGCTATTGAAAAAAGGCGACAAAGCTGAAAAGAATGACCGAAAAACGAGTCTGCACCAAAACCTACACAACATGGATACCTCACTAATGCTGTGCAAGCAAAAGAACCTGGTGTTTTCTTGAGTCAGATGCACCTTGTAATGATTAACCTCCAATGAGATCCTGTGGCATGAGCAGTCAAAATCAGAGTATTTCAATCAGTCCGCCTGAATTTGTTCGGCAGTCAGCTCTAAATTGCTACAGAAAAGCTTGTTACAATGATTGCCAGGCACGACCTACTAATGTCACGCCGTGGCAATCAGAAAACCTCTCTGCTAAAGCCTTTCCTGATGGTCATATGTAAGCCCCCACCTGGACTGATTTGAGAGAAACACTAATGCAACTCCCAGAGCAAAAGGCAACAGTAAGAACATACCCCAGCTCCTGCTTTTCTGCAGCGAGACCCCCAAAAAAGCGGACATTTAAGTACATGCTTGAGGGCTGTCGTCAAAACTACATGTAGGTTTCTCTCAGCATTCCAACATTTCGAAACCAAAAAGCATTATGCAGCGGCTCAATCTCACAACTCTAAATGCAATTGACCAATCCATGAACATTGTTCAACCAACGGACTCACCGTCTTTCTAGAAGCACTGTCTTGCAGCTGCTCAACCAAAACCTCTGGATCAAAGTGCTGGAAGACCACAGTAGGCACCCATATACTTTTCAACCAAGCCTCTTTCAAAGCCAACTGCTTTCCACAAATAGATGGAGGTCCTTTGACAGCCGGGCCTCGCCTCATCCACACAGTTCACAAACCTTCCCTGACCCGAGACGCGTGTGCATTTGCACCACATCGCCCGAGGCAGCGGGCACAAGCCAAATCTCCTATGCGGTACACTGGGACCGCTTCGGGCCAAGCTCAGCAAGGACATGACCATGAACCAGCTCGATCCTTCTTTGCTAAGACTACCGCGTATCAGGACAAAGACGGTGTCACAAATCTTTGCCCAGACAAAATACATTTTTAAACAAATGCGAAGTTGCACGTTCTTCTTTGGTCGGATGTAAGGTGGTGACCTTTTGACAATCTGTTTCGAGCTTTGACACCCTAAAAATGAAACACGGCTCGGTAAAAATTCGACCTCCCGCGGGCTCCGGAAAAGCGCGATTCGGATCCAGCCTGCGTTCTGCATGCAGAAGTGTCCGAGGGTATCCGAAAGATGTCGCGATTCCTCGATTGTCATTGGCTGCTCTTCAAGCAAAGAGTTGCATGTCGAGCAAAGTCTTGACAAGCGACGCTTTTTTGGTGGGTTCGGAGCCAATGAAAGGACGGTGGCAATGTGATTCTCGTGCTTGACGCCAACTGTCAGCTTTTGGACCTAGAAACACAAAATATCTTGTGGTGATTGTGCACCCTACGCCCATATGACGGCGTACAGTGAGTTCAGCTTCAGAGAGGCGTCATTTTCAAATCCAGTCTAGACGGGCCGTCGGATTGCCCTTTTGCTTTCATCGCACGATGTAGATCTGCATGTTTGATGTCCTTGCGGCAGGGCGGTGGCATTACGCTGTAGTTGCCTGCCGTGGACCTTGTTGTCCGTGTTCCGTTCCGTTCAAAAAGCTCGTTCCGTTGTCAGTCGGCTGTGACTCAAGCAGGCTACAGCTGACTCACGTGCAGCATGACGTCATACCTTTCAAAAACGTCAGCAAAGATAGTCAGAGCGGGTTAAAGGAGAATCAGTAATCTGAGGACCGGAGCCCGGATTGCGGTATTGATGGAAGGGTTGTTGAGGCTCTAACTTGCCAGGCGAGGTTTTGGGTCTTGACCTGGGAGCTTCCCAATCTTTGATTGACCGAAAGGAGCCTAGCCCCAGGGTTTCGCCCCTACATCATATTAGCTGCCTACAGTGTCTACCTGCCTACACAGGCTTCAGGGCGCTTCAGGGCGCTTGATTCCGCTAGCTGCTGAGCACGACCATGTGCTCTCCGTTGCCGGGAAGAGTGCCGCCATGGCAGGAGCGGGCATGGCTGGCAAGGGGGAGGGCGCTGCATGATGGTGGGGGCTTTTGCACGCAAGCGGTCGTTTTTTAGCATCCTTTTAGCCGCTAACAAGTGACCTCAACCCGTGCTTTGAATGTTTGTGACAGTCTCCGCTTTTGTCATGGCAACTCCTAGCTTGCATTGGCAGCCCGAGCTACTTCTTTGTTCAAGCAGTAAAGGCGTCAGCTGCGGCTTTCAAGTTGGAACAGGTTTTAGTGGCGTCCGCTCATGGTGATGGCAAAACATCCGCTGGTCCTTTGAAACCAACGCTTGAGGTGAAGTCATCGCTTCGCGTGGTTAAGGGAGCCTGCATGTTCACCCTTGCCCAGTGCTTGCAGAACTGTTTCTGAAAAGGTGAAAATCATACAGCGAGAAAATGCTGCAGACGAGCGTAATGGTTTTATTGCTCACTCTTCTGCACAAGAAAGCGATAAAGGGTCAAAAGCGCATTAGATTGGTAGCAGTGGGGATCCTACTTTTTCTGAGGCATGCCCTGGACGCACGTGACTTGTCGCAGATCGCAACTTTCCCACGGTCTCCTCGCAGTCTTCACGCAGCCTTGTCGCAATATTGTCGCGCATCCCGACGCTCCCGCATTTGTGCATCGCGCTTGCATCGCGCATGTTGTCGCGCACGCATAGATAGCGACGCACGGTTTTAAACATGGGTGTGTCATATGTGCATGTTGAATAGATGTTTTGTTGCCTATCTGCCTATGGATGTGCACAAAGGTGGAAATGTGCGGCGTCGTGAAGATGCATGTTTGTAGACGGGAAAGCCGCTCCATATCCAAGATCGTATGCAAAACCATAGTGCTCAGAAACGAGGATCCCACTAGGCTCTCACTAGTACCATAAACTGATTGTGGACGACATAGTATAGTTGTTCAAGCGTGCATGTTCGCGGGCCTTGTTGCGAAGCCGCGGAGCCTGACGGAGTAGACGCAGGCTTGTCGCAGCCGTCGCAGACTCCACGCAAAGGCATCGCGCCTCACAAAGCCTCCCGCAAGCTGCTGCGCTGACCACCACGCGCGCTGCCTCGCGGTGACAAATCGCGTCCAGGACATGCCTTTTCTGCGTCTAGCGCTGTTGATGCACCAAAGCCAGCTGCAGGTCTGGCCCCAAATCTGTATGTTGGTAGCGGTCCGCTAATACCGAGAGACAGAACCACTTTTGATTGGAGACTCGCTAGGGATATCGAGGGAGCGTCGGCAATGACGTTCAAAGAAGCAAGCAGGTGAAAAGGAGGAGGATGGCGGCCTCGAGCGCGAAAAGTCTCTTGTTGATGTGTGGGAACACAGATGTTGGCGACGGGGTGTAGTGGATTGGAAAGAGAGTTTGAGGGGTTGGATGTTCGGCGGTCTGTGAGGCTCAGAGAGAAGGTTGAGAACGAGGGCTTTCTCACGAATCAGATTTCTGGCTTGGAAGATAAGGGCAAGAGAACCTCGATAATGAGCGATGCTTGGAAAGCGCATGAGTTTCGCCACGGAGTTTTGCTTGTGCAACATCTGAAGATTGCTGGGCTCATCTGTGAGGGGCTTCAGTACCGGGTACTGGGGTACCGTACAACCGCCGAGTCAGCTTGTAAATCTTATTGATTAGATTGTACAATTCGTCAGAATGTTCTCGTCAGACGCGCGGTCTGCTAATTCCGAGCGTTCCACAGTTTGGTGACTTAAACAGAACCGGCGGACTGCAGGGCCAACGCGCACCGGCATGGGTCGGTTCCTTCTGGCCCTCCAAACTCCGGGCCCCTCCAAAACTCTGAACTGCGAAACCGCGATGGGTCATTTAAGACGCCCTGTCGGAATTTTACAATTCTTCAATAAGTGGACCTAAGTCAGCCTCACCTGGGTAGTCTTACCCATGATTATCACGGCCGGGGTGTCCAAATCCTACCAGTTTTTGCGTCGAGTAGGCAGGTCACCAATTTTTAGCTCCAACAGCTGCATTTATTGGGGAAAATCCTGATTTTTGAGAAGCTAATCAGAAAAGTGCAGATGCTACGAGGCTCGCCCGGCGCGTCTTCAGGTTGTCCGCCTGTGCCTTGTTCCAAATCGTGTTGTTCTTTCGAACCCGTCTGAGGACCTTTTGCCTCTCGAGTCGGTCGATGAACGCCGCGTTTCCTTGGAGAGATACCTCCAGGCGCTTGTGCGAATAGACCGTAGGCTTCGCGCTCTTGTCGTCTGAAAACATGCGCGAGAGCTTTGCTTTGAGGCCGCGCTTGTCCGCCTCGCTAGCGTCAGATACTTCGTTATTCGATTCTACGTGCAGAGTTCGAGAAGCTTTCGAAGCCAGTAGCTAGAATGAATTCGCGCAGAACTCCGATTCCGCTGGGGAGGTTAGCGGCACCACGGCAGTTCGGCCGCACTCGAATGTATGGCCGCCGAAAATCCAGTTGCAGTAGACGGCGTTTCCGAAGCGTTCGAAGATCCCCACTTGATGAGAGCCGGTGTCGCAGTCGACGAGGCTGCGAGCACCGGCGCTGGTGGTGATGCGGACCGACGACACCGCTCTCACGCTGGTGCAACCTTTCTCTTGTCGCGGCAAGACGCGAGTGATCGTCGTGACCTTCAGGACTAGGGACGAGTCGTCGGCTTCCGGCATCGGCTCTCTGATCCCGAGCCGCAAGTCCAGATCGGAGTCGGCACCTTTGTTGGACTTCCCCTGCATCCTCGCGGACAGCGTTCTTATGGTGTAAACGACGGAGCGGCCCTTGAAGTTATCTTTCTGCGCCTTCGGAGGCGGGCGGCCATCGAAAGAGGTGCGCCTGGAACTCACTCTACTCCGGGGCGTCCACTCCCGAAGCACTTTGTATCCGGAGGACTCCCACATCTTGCTCCTCTCCAAGACGTCTGGGTCGTCATCGGTTGCGTCCGCGCCGCTCTCCTCCATGAGCAAAACCCTGATGGGCTTTGCGCTCCTCGGGTGGAAGGAGATGCTGATGTCGTAATCTCCTTCCAGGCCGAGACCGAGGAAGCTGCAAGCGGAGGATGCGTTCACGAAGCGCACGTCGAGCACAGAGACGTCCTCGTCCCAAAAAGCGACAGGCTCGCTAAGCTGTAACTGGAGTGGGTATCTTCCTTTCCGTGCACTAAGGGTGAGCAGAGCGCGCTTCGGCTCCGCGCAAAGTCTTTGCTAAGCTGTACCTGGAGTGGGTATCTCCCTTTCCGTGCACTAAGGGTGAGCAGAGCGCGCTTCGGCTCTGCGCAAAGTCTTTGCCAAGCTGTAGCTGGAATGGGTATCTTCCTTTCTATGCACTAAGGGTGAGCAGAGCGCGCTTTGGCTCTGCGCAAAGTCTTTGCCAAGGTGTAACTGGAATGGACATCTTCCTTTCGGTGCACCACGGGCACGGACTAAGCTCTTTGAGTACAGTCCGTTTTACACGTGGCGAGAAACAGTTCGCCGCAATATTTTCGCCGCACGATGCATGATATATGTCTGCTGGCTCGGGCGCCATCATCGAATATGCCGACGACAAGATGGCGGGACAGATGGCGAAAGGCATCCATACTCATTCCGACGACGGGCAAAACCGTAGCAATCCGCATATTGCTGACGCTGTGGTACTTTACGGAGTTCTCATGCGTGGCGGTAGGCCTCTTCTACTCATCCAAATGGATGACCAAACATCCCACGGATCGTCGTCAATACGGCGAGGCGGTGTGCCTTTTCTTGTTCTTACTGATTCTCTTCGCCCTGGCGACCACCGGACTGTTTTTGAACATCAGAGCTCTGGCTCGACCTAAACCTGCCCCGAAGTCCGCAGTCAAGACCACTTGACCGCCTCGTTCTACCTCACGTCGAATCCAAGTCTGCTCGTCCACCGCTGCTCCCACTCGTTCCTATTCAGCAGATGCCTTACCGAGAGTCGGCACGTGTGGCCGGGTCTCTGCGCTCGTCCGACGACCTGTCTCTCGGTGCCCTCGTCCATCTTGTGCAGCATGATCACGTCGGTCGTGGTTTCGATGTTCAGGCCACACGCGAAGAGCGACGAGTCCCATCAGAACCTTGACTCTCCCTCGCTTGAAGTCGCGCACCACGCCGTCGATGACCGCCTGAGACCCTCCCTCCAGATCCGCATAGGGCACGCCGCGCGAGCGGAAACGGCCTGGATCTTGATAGATCCTGACGTGCTTGGAAAAGAGGAGGATCTTTGCGGCCGGGCCGGACTTCTCCACGATCTCCAGCAAGCACTCCAGCTTGTTCGGCCCCTCTTCCCCCTCCTTCTGGGGTGCTTCCAGCTCGGCCGTTTGCAGGCTACCCGAAATCCTCGCCCCGCAGACCGGACACTCGGACGGCGGCTTCGCACCGCAGGCTTCGCAAAACGCATGGTCGCAGGGAGCGACCAGCCGCCGCGAGATCGGGCCGTCAAAGCAGGCGACGCAGAGGCCGCACTCAGCCACGCGCTCCATGATGGTGCGGATCAGAGACTCGGCAGCTCCCATCTTGTTGACGCACTCCCTGATCTCATTCTCGTAGACCTCGCGCTGGGTGCGCTCGTTTCCGATGCCCTTCATCGTGTGCCGCTCCAGGGCGCTCTTGCAGAGCTCGATCCTGTCGGAATTCGCCTCGCGCGACTGCTGGGTGTACCTGAGCAACGCGATGATGAGCTCCTTCTCGTCGGTGACGCGCTCTTGTGGAAGAAGTCGAGCGCGTTGAGGCGTTCTCGGGCACCCTCCGACGCTCCCACCGCGGGAATCAGCACCCTTTCCAGGAGCAGGGACGTGCAGTGCTTTTCCGTGACGAGAGGCTCTTCTAGGTCGAAGCTCGAAGCTACGAAGCGGTCGTCGCACTGACAGGCGACCTTAAACCTGTGCCCCCGCCAGTTCTTCGGCATCGTTGGGAAATGCTCGACCAAGTCGCAGTCTCCCGAGACGAACCAGGTCTTCTCAGCGGGAACGGAGGCGTACATCACGTGCAGCGCCAAGGCTTCGTCCAGAACCACGCGAGGTACGGAGGCGTGTGCGCTCTTCAGAGCTCTGGCCACGCTGGAGCAGAGGATGCTCGGCGCGAGGATGATGTCGCACTGCTGGGAGATCTCGCACATGTTGTCGACGTCGCCGTAGGCCAGCTGATATACGCTCAGCGAGTTTCTGATGAAGTCGCGGATGCTCTCGTTTCACTGCGTGAGAATGTGGTGCGGCACGAATATGATGGTGGTTTCGATCTTCCCGCCGAGCGCCTGCTTCCGAGCCAGTAGGTATCCCAGGATCGCATACGTCTTCCCCGAGCCCGGCTTGTCGTTCATCACCAGGACGTCGGAGGTCTCCTCGATCTCGCCGCATCGCTGTATCATCGCCAGTTGGTGCGGCTTGAGGGTTACCTTGTCCGTCGTGAGAACGGGGTGAAGGGCTCGCGGAGACGAGGCGGTGAGGAGCACAGACTCCATACCCGGTGCTTCCGTTGGACCACCTTTTTTTGGGCGTCTCCTGAACGTGCGTTCGGAGGCAGCTCGGCGAACGAGGCGGCGCGAAAATGTGGACAGAATATAGACTGAAGAGGTCATGAGTAAGAAGCTGGGGCGCGTCCTGGCCTGCGCGGGCGCGAAGTCGGTCTTCGGCGCCTTCTTGAGCCTCCTCGTATACAGCGCGGCGTGGTCTCCCTCCCTTCGAGCGCAGCTCTCGCTCGTCGATTCTTTCGAGGCGGAGGTACTGCAGAACATTCAGCGCGAACTCAGGCGCACCTTCGACGACTCTAGGGCGGTGGCGACTACTCTGGAGGGCGCTCTGGAAATGTTGGACGGCGTTCGTCCGGTCTTAAGGGGCACTCTCAGGGGTAACGATCGCTTCAGCAGCGCCGGCTTCCAGGCCGAATCCAACACGTCGGTCAGCTTCGTGCGGACCGGGGGGAACTACAGCGAATACCGCAGGATGACGCCGGGCTCGCCCACCCTGACGCCTTTTCTGGTGAGGAACGACCGGGCAGCGGCCGTCGCCGACCACGCGTCCGACGTAACGGTGCCCCCTCTGAAGAATCGGGCTTGGTACGTCGGGGCGGTCGCGCAGCGTGGCACCGTCATCATCTCTCTCTACTTCAGCGTGCTGGGCGCTCCCGTCCTCACGATCAGCACCACCGTGACCGACTCCTCTTCGGTGCTGCTCGGAGCAGTCAACGTGGGCCTCTCCGTCTCGAGCATCGCGCGGAAGCCCGCTGCCACCGAGGACTACGTCGTGTACGTCGTGAGCGGCGCGAACGCGACTCTCATCTCCTCCAGCCGCTCTCAGAACGCGACGGACGAGTGGACCTTCGCGAGAGACAGCCCAGACCCGCTCGTGTCGGGGAGCGCGAGGCGCCTCCAAAAGGAGCTCGAGGGCGGATCGGACCACCGAGGGCTCATAACCGAGGACGGGCGGCGCTACGTAGCGGGAGTGCAGAGACTGGATGCCGACTTCGACGTCACTGCGGTCGTCTTGCTGCCTTGGGACCGCTTCTTCTCCCGGTTGGAGCGGAGCAAGCGCCTCACCACGGGTACGTCCATCGCTTCGATAGCGCTGTGCGTCGTAGTAGCGGTCATCATCGGCGCTTGTTTCTTCAGGATATGGAGCCGCGAGCAATCGCACCTGGCCGAGGCCCAGCACGACACGAGCATGCACCGGAAGAAGCAGCAGCTGCTGGCGAGCCTCAGTCACGAACTGAGAACTCCCATGGCCGTAGTCATGGGTCTTTTGGAGGAGATGCAAGCAAATTCGGGCGGCGAAGCTTTCGAGGAGAACCTCGCGCTATTGCGGAAGACGGCAGAAGACATGCTGCACCTCTTGGACGGCATACTGATGCTGGCCAAGAACGAGGCAGGAAAGTCGAACGTGGAGGCGCAAGTTTTCAAGCTGCGCGCGGAATTGGAGCGGGCACTCGCCGGGATCGGTCCTCTCGTGAGCCAGAAAGAGGTGCGGACGTGGCTTCGCTACGGAGACGGATTGACGGAAGAAGTGATCGGCGACAGG